ATCTATAGTGAATACCAGAGAAAAAATTGGTTTATATTTAGACAAAATTTAACTTTTTTACTTCTATCTTTTTGCTGTTATTCAATAGTGAAACAAAAAAAGAAAGGAAAAAAAATGGTGTTTTAAAAGCGTTGGTGTATGTGAATGAAAAATGATTTTAATCTAAAGATCGAGACGTAATTTTTAGCACAAAACAGTGTTTAAAAAGAACTTTTTTTTGACTTTATAGACTGGTAAAATTTAGACCGACAAACTCTCCAGAACCGATAGCTCATATTACCAATGAAGTTTTTTCAGTTTTATCGTAGGTAAATAATTGTTCAATGCACTTTTACAAATTATCCTTTTCTTCTTCCTTTCTGGCCTAAGTTACATTCTTTCCGTGTGTACAAACTTCGTTTTTTTTTTTTCTTTTTCAATTATATCAATGTGAGGAAGTCTAAGAGTCATATTCACCAACAAAACTTATAACGGTTTTTTATGTTCAGACGCTTTTTTTCTTTCTAAAATTAAACTTAACAGAGAAAAAAAAACTAAAGTACAACCAATTGTTGAAGATAAATTTAACAAACGAACCAACTGATAAATTGATGGACAAATGAGTTGAGGAAAAAAAGCATTACAGAAAGCATCATTAACGCTATTATTGCTATTATCGATTCTTAGTATTACGATTATTATTATTATTACTATTATTAGCTGATTCCGAAAAATCTCAAAATTAATTTATTATTATTGTCTTATTATTATTATTATTATTATTATTATTATTATTATTATATTATTATTATTATTATTATTATTATTATTATTATTATATTATTATTATTATTATTATTATTATTATTATTATTGTTACTCTTATTGTTAACTTCAATTTTATTATTATTGCTACTGTTATTGCTATTTTCAATTTCATCAATGATATTAACAGTAATATTGAGAGATAAATGAACGTATATTAGCGACTCAATTAATAAGATCTTTTATAACTAAGCTACAAACTACAAATTATCTAATTTTTTGATTTCAGATTTAAGAAAAAAGAAGGAAGGTCCTAAAAAAAGCGAATTCCAGGTTAATTTATTCTCTTTTCTTTAAAGTTGCATTACTTGTCAAGTTTTTACTCACTATGCTTATATTTGTAGACTGGCAGTTCAGTTAAATGTCAACAAAATTTTACCTTTTTTAGTGTATTAATTTTCTATTCCTTCTATTTTCAGGAAGTACTAAAGCCCTTAATTTTGTAAAACAGTTGAACAGATACAATAAAAACGAAAGATCAGAGAAATATTAGGAAATATGTCGTTTCAAAATTTTTAAAAAAGCATATTGTTTGTGGAATTTTCTGCTTTATAATCTTTTAAAAGTTGGTCTAAAGTTTTTTTTCGACGGGCTTAACAGTTATGCGTTGAAAAGGGAAGAGGAAATGATAAAAATCTATCACCGTTACAGTAATAGCGTATATTTTGCGGTAGCAAAATCATTCTCAGCAGCAGATTCTATTTTCTACTATAAGTATCAATTACGTATTACGTGATGAAAGTTCATTCTACAGAACCGTATCTCATACAAAGAAAGGATCTATGAATTACTACGGTGCAGTCGTGTAACAAGCTGCGTCTGTTCCAGTAGTCCGTGTTTCGTAAATTTGGTACATAATTGCAGCAGTTAAGCAGGAAAACTTTCTTGTTTTTTTCCTTCTCCTGTCAATGAAATAATGACAAAAATTTTTAAGATTTTATTAATGCACAGAACCTTCGCGGACGTTATTAGTAATGATTTTTGCTTCTTTTTGTAGTTTACTAGCGATAAAAAAGCCAGATGGATTTGATACCAGTTATGGCTTTTTTTATGTAGACAGAAAGGTGTCAACGTTATTTGCAGGTTGAAGAAAACTGGTTTCATTTATTTTGGCTGCTGGGCCTAGATTTTATTTCTAATTTGTCAACATCTCAAACTTGCAAATAACGTTGATTACTGTGCAAAAGGTTCGATAAAAAACACTGACTTCAGCTGATACCTGTTTTTAAAGATTAAAACGCTAATGCCATGGCTCACGGATATGCTTTTGATAGTCCAGAAATTTTTTAGATTACCAAGAGCAAAATTTTTGTAATGGTATAAGAAAAAAGTTCGAGTAACTTGCGGATACTTTTCTTGTTTAAGGTGTAGTTTAGTAGACAAATGAATCTCTTTCCTAACGATTGGGGGAGGGTCTTTTTGGAAACCTCTTCCTCAAAAATACGTAGAGATTCATTATTGTAAAAGCACTATCACACACAGTTATTTATATTGAAACAGCATGAGATAGAAAAAAACAAAATTTGGTGATGAAGAATACAGCCAAAAATGTGTTCGTACTCTATTGTCTTTATTTTCATTTTTTATTTCAGGACAGATCAGCTAATTTGACAGTAAGACAACAGAATAAAATTTTTTTTTAGCTTATACATTTCTTTAGCTAAAAAAGTAGTTGACAGGGAAAATATTTAGACCGACAATTGGTGTTAAGTTTTGCTCAGCTTCTTTATTGTCGTCGTCAAATTGTTACATTAACAGAGTGCTAAAAGCGAATTGAAAATGTTAAAAATTCAGCTCGCTTTAGCTACAGCTCTCTTCGTAAGGATAAACGAAGCAAATTTTCATCAAACGATAAAATAATAAACAGTAATAAATTATACATATAAATATATTTATTTATATTTGTATGTATATATATGTATACGCAGTAATTGTTCTTCTTTAAAAAACTTCAACTATACATCTTTTCAAGTGAGCTTTGTTCGTTGTCTGTAACGATAAGTTGCAAATGTTGTTGCTTGAAACTTATTTATTTTACTTTTTTCGTACATTGGTCGATGCATTTGCTGAAGATTCCAAATATTTTTGGGTTTGAATAAATTTACACTTGTATAAAGTGTTATGGTAATAAATTTTAAAAGCAACAACAAAAGTTTTTAGTGACGATTAAAATGAGGACACCGACGTCAGCAACAGCAGTTAATCTGTTTGGCGACTCTTGACAAGCTGGAAACTACTTAACAGCAACAAATTTTAGAAACGGTAGGCAACAATAAATGGCATAATGTAATTAGACTTATTTTTAATTAAATATGCACACCTGTTCTGAAAAAAATAGCTTTGAAATTTTAGAAGTTTGAGTATCGCTTTCTCTTTTTATAATTAACACAAAAAAAACTGCAAGCTTCAGAGAAGCACTAATTCCGTGTTTTCATCAATTGTCTACCGACCTTATTTGGCAGTCACAGAAAGACTAGAATTTATGCAAACGATAAAGCAACAAAAATGAGTAATTAAAAGAGATTTGACGTTTATGCAGATACCAATCAGATGAGTGATGTTTCATTTCCACATTCATCAGCGCCTTTTAGAAGAAGTATGATGAAGCGCAGCTATTCAACTTGCTTTAAATATACATGCTGAGAATACTGTTGCTCATAACTGTTTAAGATAAAAGAAGGAATTGTACAAAACAAAATCAAGAACAGTTTTATTTATTTATTTATTTTTTTTTTTTTTTTGCTTAAATAAAGTTGTAGAAACAAAATTAAAAAAATTTGACTTCAACAACGGTAAAAATACGCCAACGTAAACACGCAACGTTACACTTCTCAGATCTTATTTTTTCAAATAACTTTTTTGATGAAAAAGAAGTTACTTATTTGTTTACTTATTGTTTTTTAGAGTGAGAAAGTCAAATTTTATGAACTTAGTAAAAAAAATCAAGTTCTCTTGAGACAACTAAAAAACATAAAGATCAAAGAGTGATTTCTAAGGAAGATTTTCATTCCCAAATTTCTTCTTATTTTGCTTTTTATTCTGAACAGTAAACATGACAAAAATGTATAGCACAAAAGTTTCTTGATCTATTTTGTTTTGAGGTTTGTCACTGCAGTTCTGCTGATAATCGCTTAACAACAACGCTAGAAGCAGTAATAACATTAGATGTAATTGTACTACCAACTACAACTACAACTGATCGATTTTGATCAAAGTTGGTCAAGCAAAAAATAATGCATCAGGAT